AATTTCTCGAGATAAGGGTCTCAAGTTTGTTTTGTTTACTATTTTACTATTTCTTTTTCAGCATTTCTTTTATTAATATCCATTGCACAAAAAGCAGCAAATACTGTTACTGAAGCACAGAATTTTTTTGTATTTTCCCCCGGTCATTCACGCAAACTGCATCCACAGTTGTTGACATTTTGCAGCCGCCATGATGGATGTAATGTGACGTATTTTGACATTATATGACTTTGCATTCTAGCTACATTTTCTGCCCTCTCATGGCATTTCAATTTCCTTTCATTATTTCATCCAGATTTCATGATATTTAATATTTAAAACCAGCCTTCATTTCACAGTCACTCTAGTTTTCACTTTTCTAAAATTATTTTACTGGTCAGAAGGCTTATCACTCCCATCAAGTAATCCTCCATAGTAGTTTTGCAGACATTAACGTGCGGGGAACTTTGCTCTTCGATAAAGCAGCGGTTTCCATCTTCAAATAATCAAAAGTACATGTATGTCCAGGATCGGATCTAGGATTCTGGAATAAGGGGGGGGGGTGGCCGATGGCCAAGTTCGCCAGCGCCGATGGCGCGAAGCCCTGTTCAAGTTGGTTGTTAAAAATACGGCCCCCCCTCGGTCCCCTCTTTTTTGTCTTCTCAATTTCTCAAGATAAACGTCTCAAGATTGTTTTGTTTACTAGAAGGGAATATCTTTTTCAGTATTTCTTTTATTAATATCCATTGCACAAAAAACAGCAAATACTGTTACTGAAGCACAGAATCTGCATGATGGATGTATTGTGACGTATTTTGACCTTCGGAATATGACCTTGCATTTTAGCTACATTTTCTGCCCTTTCATAGCAGTTGAATTTCCTTTCATTATTTCATCCAGATTTCATGACATTTAATATTTCAAACCAACATAATTACACCGACGATCACCAAGATAAATACAAAGAACGCTCTTTCTCGGGAGCTGGGGAATTAAACATGGGTTATCGACCGGTCGATTGGCTGGGCCTTGAAGGAGGTCTAGTTTACAATTTTTAAACAACGTGGCTTGTTTATTCATTGAGGACATCTCGAACCACTAAAAAGAAGTGGTCACATTTTGTATGCAATAGAACATGGGCAATGTAGGACAATAGTGAAAACAAATATATTTTGAAATATGCAAGTAAAAAACAAAACCAAAAAACATAATAATAATAATCATATTCCTGAACTCCTCCCAAAATCTAGTAGTCTGTTTGCATTAAACTTCAAATGAACCTGTTTATTTGCGTCTATAAGATACACGTGCTTTGTGAATGCCAATGTCATTTGGATGATGCAATCCCATACGAGTGCGCATGCGCAAACCCTTTAAAGCCGCGTCTCATTTATATGCAAATCAGACTTCTCATTGTAGCATTCTGTTATCTCCACTGATAGCCTACTCACAACACAGATAAAAGGTCCATATAAATGAGTGAAAAGGATACCGTCTGTACAGCTCGGCACATAAGTTGAACGCATAACGGACACTTGCAGACCATATCCAAAGATGTCAAACACTCAGCAAGAATCGGTACCAAGTAGAGGTCAGTTCCTATATTTATTGCATATGACATTAACATACAATACTTGTATGTATATTGCACGGAATAAATTAATTTTTTTATTTTCTCGATTTCAATCATTTTAAAAACGGCGTTAATATCATACAATATATATCTATGTATACGCATCAATGAGATTCATGTTGAACTCCGACCAGAGGTAATATATAAATAAAAATATAAACAGTTACAGGCATATGGTATCGAAGATCGGGACTTTAACACAACAAAGGGTATATTTTGTAACTCCGAGCTTACTTTCTTCTAGTCAATGTGTGTCATGTCCAGACTGTGTGTGTTACTATCCAATTGTATAAATAAATGAGAACAATAATACAATTGAGCTTGGGTCATCTAAACGTTTAAAATAACTCGACGTATATCGGCTATGCGCTTATTCGGGCTGTTTACAAAATTAAGCGTATTTCGGACTGAAGGCTCCGGGGAATGTGCCGAGCTTTTGATATCGCCGAAAGGCACAGTGGCGTGTGCCGCCAAATTGGGTCGTTTTTTCGAAATAGAACGATGAAACACAGTCCCTCCACATGTAAATAACCCTTTAAAGTATACAAAAAAAGTATTCTACAGACATAACACCAACGTTAGTATTACTGTCAGCAAGGATATTGCTTTGAAATTCATAATGTAGACACGTGGACTGGTCCTCTCCCAAGTTTGTTCATTTGAGCTCAGACAACTTATTAATTGTCTGAGATTTGGTGAAGATATCTCTATTTTTGTGGAAGTTATGATATTTGTTGTTATTGTTTTTTTGAATGTTTTCACTTCCCCATACATTATATATGGGCTATGTGAATTGCATGGACTCCAATAGACAACTGCATCAGTTGGAAGCTAGGCTTTCTCAGTACACATTGTCTTGGAAAATGAACTAGATGGGACAATGTTTTCCAGGTTCATACGTTTGCTGCTTTTAATCGAATATCGAATCAAAATGATAATCTCATTACAAATAATTATTATGTTAAAGTTAATGCAATAGGCAGGAAACAACAGTGATTTGTTTAGTAAATGCTGGTGCTTCAAAGTGAAAAATACATTTATACCTATAGTTCAAAGGTCAACAAAAAGGAAAATGGATTTTAAAAATGTGAACGGATTTTGAAAACGAAAATAGATTTTAAAAACGAAAATGGATTCAAATAAACAGATCTCAGAAACGAGAGTGGGTTTTACAAATCGATTTCAGAACCGAAAACGGTTTGAAAAAATGGATTATAAAATAAAAAATGAATTGTAAAAATGTAAATGAATTGTAAAAATGTTTTTTTTTATAATATGCCGTGCTGTGAGCCACCTCGGTTGCCGTACTCTGAGTGGAATAAATACTAGTAGTCTGGTCCCATGCCCCAATTTCAACGCTGAGGGCGCTTAAGAAAATATTTTCTTAACCGCCCTCAGTGTTGAAATTGGGACAGGGGACCAGACTAGAATAAAAACGGCAACTTCTAGTACTAGTTAGTATTCGAAATCGAGTCTTATGTAAATAAAGTCACCTCAATGGTCCTTATCATTGTTTATTTTGGGTTTATCTTATCACTCTACAGTTATCGAAAATAAATAGATGTTTGGTTTGTATAATGATAAGAACTCATTTGTTGTCTTTTCAATCCACATGTATCAACAAAATGATAGCTGCTACCTGCATGCCGCGTGGGCATGGCAAGTGACACACAGTCCCTTTATATTTTGTCTCAGACCACGATCAACACACGAGGAAGCCACTCATAGTTTTCTGGGTTTATTTCGCTGGTGGTCGACGGTAATTAAAACACTGTTCCTGTAAACTAATACAGTTACGGCATTGTTATGATTATATGAGTGTGTTTCGTTTGTTGATAACAAATAACATTTCTGGAACACGCACACCGTGAAACCTAACTATTGACAATGCAACTAATGCCATTCCAGTAGACCCTTCTGCTATGGGCGTTTTCTCACAGAATAATAATATGCATGTACGTACGTTACTGAACTTGGACTTTCGTTTCGTCGTGCGAATTAAAAGTTTTGTCCTGCAAATCTGATGTTACATGTATGAAAAGTGAATGCGTGGTAGTGAATAGCACACTGAACAATGGAAAAATTCATCTACAGTCCCTTTATCCACAGTCCCTTTATCATGATGGAAAAAATGTTCATTCACTCACAGTCCCTTTATCATGATATCATGATGGAAAAATGCACATTCACCCATAGTCCCTTTATCATGATATCATAATGGAAGAAATGTACATTTACCCACGATCCCTCTGATAAAATGTTCATTTATTCACTGTCCCTCTGATAAAATGTTCATTTATTCACTGTCCCTCTGATAAAATGTTCATTTATTCACTGTCCCTCTGATAAAATGTTCATTTATTCACTGTCCCTCTGATAAAATGTTCATTTATTCACTGTCCCTCTGATAAAATGTTCATTTATTCACTGTCCCTCTGATAAAGTAACACAGAAGGTGAATGTGCATTTTTTCAATTGCTAAGTGTCCACGACCACGGCATTCGAACCCATTATCTCCCTCAGGCTGGTGTTGGGCGGACACGTCATTCATTACCACGCATCGACTTTTCATAATCAAACGGTCCGTGTTTACTCTCTCCCTATGTAATCCCATGTATTATCATATGCACTGGGCAAGTTATCCCCTGTTAAACACAAAATGCGGCTTTTATACCTCTGGTTGTTCCCCATCACTCAATCCCATGTCTATGCCATCGGTTCTGCGATGATGGAAGTATTTTCACTGAGTTCCAGTTCTTGAAGTAAACAGAAATAATAGTAGTTTTTGCCTTTAAAAATTATGTATAGTAACACATTCGCTTATGAACTATTTCTAAATAAAAATCTATGTATATTATTACCACGCATCGACATAGACGGTTCTTGTTCTACTCTCTCCCTATAGAATTCTATGTATTATCATATGCACAGGGCAAATTATTAATTTAAAGGGCGGAAGTCGTCGTGCCACGCATGCGCGAGATATATCTTGTGCAATTCAGCGAGTACAAACTGAGACGTTACCAAGCTTTAATTGGGTATTTTTAGATGATTGGAAAGTATCGAAGGAGTCACCGGCGGTAATAAGTGTAAGTCGCGCCCAGGTCAAACCTCATACTTGTGATTTCCATTAGAAGAGCGCATTGGATTGTGGGAAAAATCAATGTTTATCAACACAAATTTTGCACATGCGCAGCGCGACGACCATCGCCCTTTAATACAGGAATAGTGTTTTAATGACTGTCAACCACGAGCGAAACAAACCCAGAAAACTATGAGTGGCTTCCTCGAGTGTTGAACAAAGCGTGTCAATAAGTTAAAACAGATAATCGTGAAGCATAAGTTGTGCACACGGAACTAACACCTCTGGTTGAAATGATAACATATGTGTACCAAGTAAACAGTTGGGCGGGCCATGCACATTGCATCCCACGACGCACTGGTGCAATCCCGGAGATCACTGCGTGCCGCACGACCTCGTTGCGTGACGCATTAGTGATAATATAACCTCACACTAATGCAGAATTCTATATTAGTCTGAGATATAACCTTGGACAGAATTGGAAATGTATTAAAAGAAATACGGGTAGTGTCGTAAACAGTGGTACAGTTCTTTAACTGGGATCTCGGCTATCGGTGTTTACTGATTCGGCGGACAAGTGTACAATGCTGGAAAAGTGGTGTTTCGACAGCTGAAGGAAGAACAATATTAAGGAATATTATATAAGTAAACATCGTAGCGAGTAACAGAGACAGAAATCGAGTCTAGCTAAAAAGATGAACTTATGAACTACGTAATAAAGATGGAATTGAAGACAAATTTTATCTCACGACGTCATGTCTAAAATATTCAAACAACAAAGAAAGTTAACAAGACATTAACACATTACTTTTGTCTTCATAATAATGATGATAATAATAATGACGATGTTTTTTCCGTATTTGGAACGTACCAAAGAAACCTCCAGTAATGTCCAATAGCAACAACAAAACAAAACAACATTCAGAAAAACAACACTTACAGAACTAAAACGTACTAAGAATATAGAAAATAAATTTTGCAAAAATGCTAAGAATGAGTTATCACGCTATATTCAGTCACAGTCTATAGAGACTGTGATTCAGTGCTCATTTTATTTCGCGCTATATACACCATGTTTATTGATCGATGCAGCACAATAAAGTAAGACAGGGACATGTTTAATTGCTGGTGATTTGTAAACGCATTTTTATGCTTGTGTACACTATTTTGTTGTTTTCATTGTTCAATATGTTGCTGGTTGTTTTAGCGACCTTACTACTGTGCTTTCCAAAGTCGGCGTTGTGTCAATAAACGTTCAAAAGTTGGTGGTTGCCGCGCAGTGCGTGTTTGAATTTCATGTAAACAAACAATGTACTTTATTCGCGTAACCGCGTTATACCATATTCGTCGTTCTTTAACACTTTTGGTCCCGGTGGGAAATTTCGCGTCAACGACAAAAAAAAAAAAAAAAAAAAAAATGTTCACTAATTTGTTCTCAAAAGAAATACCAGATACTAGTAAAGCGATATAATGGCTGGGCACGCGATAATCATACACAAATATATTTACCGAGTTAGGTGGCATTGTATGTTTTATTGTTATAGCCTAGGGAGCTTGTCTTCAAAATGGCTACTACTAATGACCGAGCTGTGCTTCACAGCATTTTTAATCCCAACTTACCGCTTGGTAACGAAAATGTGCCTGGCATAGATGATGTAGACGATGAAGAAGGTGCGTTAAACTTGTTAAGTCGTTCTGTCATTTAATATCTCTGCTACCATGACACATAAAACAACATAAATGTTGACGACGACAGACCATCGAAATGTGCCAGTCAGCTGACCTTTCCTCTCTCTGCGATACTAGTATGTCAGGACAGTGTATTTCAGTGGGGCTAGTGTGCACATAAACGTCACGGGATATCGAGACTGTATGCTTGGTAAAACATAGGCCGGGATCTGATGCCAAGAAATTGTACTACGCGATATCTCGTAATTGGAGAGAGAGGAGAGCCTTTTGCACCTCTGCTCTTTTGCCACGAATATATCATGTTCTTGGTGTGGGCATGGTGGGGTTTGTTTTAGTGATATTTGCATTGTGCCCCACACAGTCTTTGCAATGTGGGCATATGGGCAATTTGACTTTTTTTAAATTGTTTTGTAAAACTTGTTCTTTTGGGAGAAAATAGACAGAATCTATAAATAATTGACTTTCATTTATATAGATCTATTGAAAACAAGTTCTACATAGTCACATTACCTTATATATGTTCATAAAAATGACTATTTATAGTCAGTGTATGAAATATCTGACTTTGCGAGTTAACGGTTTTTGCAAGAACATTGCTAGATGACATATTATTTAAGTTCGAGAGATGGGTTCATTGCCAATAGTGCTAGCAAATTTATTGACAGCATTTTATTTTACTATAAGTAATTTTACTTAGACTTTAGTTATTTATGTATTTTCTTTTGTCTCGTGTGTGTACTTGTGTTTTATTATATTTAATGTCTTTTGACCACAGATAATGTAACAAAATATATTATTTAGTGTCAAATAAAATATACTATACTATACTATACTATTAAAATACCTGGATGACAGTGGTGTTTGGCACCTGGAGTGGGGTTGAATTACAAGTCTCAGAAATAGTGGGGCAGCAAATTCGCTAGCGAATTGGCTAACTACTTGGGTTTCAACTATAAAACAATTGGTTTTTAAAACTCGCTGGCATCGTCTTGCGATCACGCCTACTCTGGGCGAATCTATATTGCAGTAGGGGGAAGGCGAAGAAAATACTGGCATGAAAAATCACTCAGAATTCATGTTGAGAGAGTGATAGGGCAGATAAAAAAGCTTCAGATGTTTTCCAATATTCAAAATTTGTCAATGAAATCATTTACCAATCAAATGATTATCATTGTAGCTGGTATCTGCAATTTTGTTGAAAGGTATGCATCTTTGTAGTAAAAAATGTATGGCAGCTAAATGTAAATAGAATACATGTACACAGCAATGTAAAGTCATAGTATGTTTTTATTACAGTAGAAAATTTACCATAGTTTGTAACAAATACAAATATGACATGCACACATAATTATTATTGGTAGTGTTTGGCTGGTACTTTGAGAAATAATTGCAGCTGTACGTAACAGTTTTGTACAGTACGATGACACTTACTCCATAATTATGATCGTCTGGCTTCAAGGGATGAGCATTTTTAGTTCATTAGCAATTTTTATAAGTTCAACAAGCTTTTGTGTATTACAACAAGTTATGCCACATTCCTGAAAGAATTTGTGAAGTTCTTGAACTTTATTCAATGATGTTAAGCCTCGGTGATCATTCAAAAACAACCCCACTTGCAGTGTGCCTAGAAACCTAGAAATGGTTATGCAAATGAGCAGCTATAAGGAACTTGAAAGGAATTAAACTTTCAAAAGTTGCCCTTGTTTAGCTCCACTGTCGACTTTGTCAAGCGGAGCTCATCATATGAGTGATTGTGCGTCGACCGTGTCAATGTTTTACTTTTTCAACTTCTTCTTGAAAACTACAACCCTGAATGCTTTGATACTTGGTGTATATGTACCTTGGGCAGACCTCTCTTAGATTTGTTCATTTCGTGATGATATCTTTAATTCTCTGATTTTGATGAATATTTTTGTCATTTTTGGTAAAAAGTGGTATTTTTGAATTCTTGCTGAAAACAGCAAGTCTGATTGCTTTGATATTATACATATTGTTCATTTTCTAATGATATCTTTTGTTTTTTAATTGCAATGTGCCTTGCTTACAGCGGAGCTATCTCAGCCGACAGGCTACTTGTTTTGTATATATAATGAATTTCATTTTACTAAATTTCCATCGGTTTAGATGTTTTTTAAGATAACTACCAATATATCAATGTATGATTTATTGTTGTGTCACTGGCAAACCAGTGTAGGATCCTAAGTTATTGCATCACAAGATCTCAGTGGTGCATCATCTCTGCTTACAGGGCTCACTGGTCCTTATCTAGTTTTCTAAGAACCTTTTATTTTGATTTTTAGTGATCGAAGAGGAGACAGAGATTACTAAAGAATCCAAGAGATTGGAGATTTGTGGTGTCAAATCAGCAGAGAGCGGTGACTTGAATTCAGCATTAGATTATTTCAGTCAAGCTATCGAAGTCGCACCCCTTAGAGCATCAGGATACAACAACAGAGCTCAGGGATTGCGACTGAAAGGTGACGTACAAGGTACGTGAAATACTTTTAGTCACTGCTGGATTTAATGCCATTAGGTCAATGGACACAGTTGTAGGTTAACATGAAAACTACATATGGTAGATTTTGCTTAGTTCTGAAGGGATTTAATGAATTCAGCAAACCAAAGAAATATTCTGTATTTGTATGGCATTATTGTCATGAATGTTATTTATTTATGTTAGTTATTTATGAGCCCTCCACCCGGACAAAGTCTGGGAGGGGGCTTGTAGTTTAGCCTTCGTCAGTCCGTTCGGAGTGATTTCTTGGAGATGACTGGACCGATTTTTTTGAAACTTGGTACAAAGACATGCACTTCATGCAATTTATTTTCTGATTTGATTAAATATGACTGCCTGGCGGCCATTTTGAATGTCAAAATCCTGTAAAGTCCAGTTTTTCAAGTGTGTCCATCATCATTTCCCTGGGATGCCTGGATCGTTTTTGCTGAGACTTGGTACAAAGAGAGTGACCACTGGTACAGATGCCCATTGATTTATTTTTTCAAGGAATCAATTAATGAGCTCATTTGCATATTTAATTATTAATTTGAATTCTTGTTAATATCTTGTGAACTAATCAGACCAAACTTAGCAGATACTTGATTTGTCAATATAAGATATATGCTATGCAATATTGAATTTAAATTTTATTAACAAGCTTATTTGCATATTTAATTAATTTTGAATTTTTCTTAATATCTTGTAACTAACTGTTCGAATGAGACCAAACTTGGTATAGACTTACTTGATCTGTCAATATAAGATGTGTGCTATGCAATATTGACTTTCAACTTAATTAATGAGCTAATTTGAATTTTTGTTAATATCTTGTGAACTATTTGTTAGTTAATATTGACTATTTGCTAATTGATATTCTCCTAGCTGTTAACTTTGAGTAACATACTTTTTATTTTAAACTTAATCTTCCTACCCAATTTTATACATATACATTCAAACTTTAAAATTCATGGCCAACTATAATCACATATGACAAGTGGGGCTGTGTCATCTTCAGATGATGTTGTGTTGTTTGTTTTCATAATGTTGAACCATTATCCGAAATAAAAAACAAGGCTGGACTTATTATCAACTACCAAAAATATGCAAATTATCTGGTTGTGTTCACATTTTTTTGAGTGGTCAAAAATTTATAGTAAAGAAGTAATTTAATGACCAATCTACAATATCTGTCAATGCACATAAGCAGCTGTGACAATTTTCATCTATTAAGCCTATCTTTTACTTCTGTATCTATTTTTATCCCATTTGAAAAACGCGACCACTGTGCACAAGCTTAATATTCACAGGCTTATAATTCCTCATTGTTTCACTGTGCATGAATTGCAAATACTTTAATCTGTAATTTATTTAACGTAATACTTTAACCTCTGGCACACTTCTGTTTTGCTCATTTTTCCCTTACGATCAATTGAGCAGAAAAAGTGTGGTTGGTTTCAGATTGGAAAATCCTGAAATTCAGCGATAAATGGGAGTCGTTTTTGTAATAGATGAAAATTAAGTGTTATCGTGAATCCTTCATTCTCCTCCTAAATGCCAGGATGTGTGACCTGATTTTGAAAGGTCAATGATGTGACCATCATGTTCTCCCTTAGAATAAGTTGATGGTTTTGTTAGTATACATTACTTATATAATTCTTTATCTCCAATAATTTCCTTCTTTTCACTAGGGGCCATATTGGACCTGGATAAGGCAGTTGAGCTGAGTGGTGGAAAAGGAAAAGTAGCATGCCAGGCATATACACAAAGGGCATTGATCAGGCGTCTTGAAGGTCAAAATGAACTTGCTTTAGAGGACTTTAAAAGTGCTTCCAGTTTAGGCAGTGAGTTTGCAAGATCTCAAGTCATTCAACTGAATCCATATGCAGCAATGTGTAACAAGATGCTCTCCGAAGTCGTCACAAAACTCAGAAACGGGGAATATCTAGACAGTTAGAGATTTCTGAGATTAACTGTGGACCTTAATTTGTTATTATATAACATTGTGTATGTGCTATAATTGGGTGGGGGTGGGGGTGGGGGTACTGTATAGGGCTTTATTTTTATTAGCTGAGTTATATACATTGTAATAAAGTGTTGTTTTATTCAGAAACCTGTGAATTTAAAAGTGAATTTAAACCCAGGGATTATTGCTTCTTGTGCATGTTCAAAAAGAAGAAACCTGTGAATTTAAAAGTGAATATATCTGCAACCCAGGGATTATTGCTTCTTGTGCGAAAAGAAGAAATATTGGTGCAAATTAAATCTCTCAACTGTCTGAGTGCCAAAGCCTAATTCAGGCATCCACAAAATAGTTCCATTGATATAACAACAAATGTTGACAAAAATCTAACGTTTTTGATCAAAACTAAAAGCAATGTCTGTTTGGTCCAAAATTAAGACTACATTCAGTGACAATAAACTTTCTGGTCAATCAGTTTTCCAAATCATGAAAATTAATTTTTTTTTTCTAAAACCTCAAATTGCTCTGATGCACCAGAATGCACCAGATGTTGACCAGAAACAAAAACATTCTTTTATTTGGGCCTAAGACAGTTCTAGACATAGAATGTACCACAGAAGCCATATTCATCTTTTGGGGCTACACACATGACAGGGCTGTGTGGTCATCTCTCTATCAAATGGCATTTTAATGTGCTATCCTGGCGTAAACCAGGCTCGAACACAAGCACCTACGGACCTTAACCAAGATTCCCCCCCAAAGTCACATTCATTAGTGAATGAATCTCGGCCAGTGGAATTGGTCTTCTCATTTACTGATAAAAAAAAAAATAATACATGACTATTGTAGAATTATTTCAAAAATTTGTTTTTTACAAATTTTTATATTTGGCACATACATCATGCATATTGGAATACATCTCCATGTCAGTTTGTTTCATAAAACAATCAAAGATGGCCAACTGGCAGCCGTCTTGATTTAAAAGTGTGGTATCTTGGACATGTTTTGTCGGTTTTCGTTCAAACTTGGTACATGCATATTACATGTTGGCATTTCAAAATCTGAATCAAAATGCCTGACTGGCAGCCATTTAGTTTTAATAGATAGTATTTTATAAAAGCAGTTACAACTACCATTGCAACTTTCAACCACTAATCCATAATCGGATGATACAATATTTGACAACCATAGTTACTAAAAAAAAACAAAAACATGACACTAGTTTAAAAAATAAAATACTATGTCCAAGTTAAAACTAGGTCAACAGGTAAGGGTTGCATACTTACAAAAGGATATGCACTTCAGGCAGGAAAATTTACCATCTCTAGTCACCATACCATCTCTCATTTCAGTTCATTTCAAACAATTCGTAATGGTTTTTGATGCTGTTTTTCTTAGCTCCACTGTCAACCTTGTCGAGCGGAGCCAATCATATGAGTGATTATCCGTCGTTGTCTGTGTCAGCTTTTTACTTTTCGGATTTCTTCTTGAAAACTACAATTCTTACTGCTTTGATATTTGGTGTATATGTACCGGTACCTTGGGCAGATTTATCTTAATTTTTTTCATTTCGTAATGATATCTCTAATTTTGATAAATATTTTTGGTAAAAAGTGATATTTTCAACTTCTTGTTAAAAACAGCAAGTCAACATATGTACCGGTACTTGTTTTACCTTTACAAAATTAACCCAGATAGAATGTGTAAAATGATTTTTGAATAGGATCTATGACATCTACATCATAGCACGTTAGCATGTTAGCTCTTTAGTTTACGAAACATGCAGTGCAAGCCAACAATTTTAGATATCTGATTAAATTAAGAAAATTGCAAGTGCTGTCATTTTGTCACAGAAAGCACATTCCATAATAATTCTTTAGAGTTGTAAAACTATAAAAACTTTAAAATTCTTGGAAAAATTTGCATGCCTAAATCTTAGGGGAAAAATATTTCACAAATTGGAAAAAAAAAACAATTGCAACAAATTCATCATGGGAAAAATAGCACAAAACTCAATGAAGGAACAAAATATTTTGCACAGTATTTTTCTGCCATCAACCCCAGAGTTTCTATGGTCCATCAGAAATGCATATTAATGTGGTTGGATATATAAAGTATTTCAGTTTTTGAATATTTTGTTTCAATATGGGGACTATGACATTCATAAAATTAAATTGGCTGGTTGGCTTGTAAGAATACATGAGCATCATGATTCGTTATATGGCCGAGTCTAAGAAGGTCTACCACCGGTAACCATCCTTTTCGATCATATCTCTGATATCCATGTATAGTCTCATATTTTTGTCACATAATATTTGTATTTGTATAATATATTCCGAAGATTACATTATAAGTTCAGAGTAAACTTTAAATGTTCAGAAGTAAACTTTAACTGACACTGCAAGTTGTATATTCCTGAACATACTTTGTACAGATTCATGTCTGACTTGTGCTTCATTCTCATTAAATTATAAATGAAAACATTGTTAGAAAGATGGCCATTGGGTAACACTATAACAAATAAGCTGGTAAACACTTACGATACTGGAGATGTGCACTTTAATTAAGTTTGGATACAAGAAATTGCATAGCTATGAGAAATAGCAAATATAAATACTTTGTGATCCTATATCACAGGTACATTGCAAATTTATAAGTCATTTAATAAATCTGATTTTTGTTGATACTAGGTTATCCTATTATTCACTTTTAATTAATGATTAAAAACACTATACAAATTCATTCAGAAACAATTTACCTGATTTGCATATCAAATTTAATTACATATATTAGGCATGTGGAAATACATGTCCATAACAATTTGATTTGTGATCAGATCACAGGGAGCCCAGAAACTATGATCAACTGTATGCAGTTTCTATGAGGCGCGGGAGGGGGTTTATCGGCCGGTATCTAGTGTAAGAAATAGACGAGGGATGAAGGCTCCAGCGAGCTCCTATTTTTTTAAACTGGAAAAAACAGATGAACAGAATGAAAAATCTATAAAAAATACCAGGTTGAAGAATATTAGTTGTTCTTTCAAATTTCGCCAAAGACATGCCTATATTTTACCTATATCTGCAGAATAATTCAAGAAAACTACACAAATTAACTCCATTTCTGAATAATTAACGGTTGGCCAAACGCACGGCACACTTGAAGGCGAAGAACCAATCACAAAACTGTTTACGAACCAGTTGAGCAAGGCTAACAGAGTCGTAACCTCGATGTGGTTCGTAACCAGTTTTATGATTGGTTGTTAAGAAATTTTGAACAGGCAACTCCTCCAAAGACTTGTTTCAGACATAAAAACAACACAAAAATGCTTCAAAGAGATTTATTTATACATGATCAAAACTGGATTGTTTTCAACACTGATAAAATTTGATGCCACATTTTAGGAAAATATTAGTTGACAAACACTGTATGCACCACTACATTTAACCGTAATGTTAGATCAAACAAACCATTCCAAATGACAATCAGCAAATTATTCTGAGGCAGCCACATCATAATAGGGTCATGATCTGCAGATCCAAAAAAAAGCATCACAGGTGATGCATCTGCCAGGCAGCACATTTGATCTGATTATTTTATTCAAACATATTCACTGGCTTTAAATTCCTGAATTTTTTAGTGATGTAGTGAGATCTGTTTTAATTTTACACATGGATTTAATTTATCCCCCCCCCCCCAAAAAAAAATGCGTACTAAGCCCAGTGAATAATTAATCCTTTTTGCGCCATAATTTGTCATGCCAAAATTTTGGTAGAACATTATGCCTGTTTTTATGTAGTTTTCTATATTTGTTAATTTTGGACCAAATAGACACAATTTCTTATTGGCTACAAGTCTTGGTCAAGATTTTTGAAAAATCATGAAAAAACCTATGTTGATTTAATAAATTTGTAGATGGTTACAAAAGTCGACTCTGGCGCTTGGAGGGTTAAAGCTTTAGGCCAAGGAAAACAACAACTTATGTTGCCCTCAAGTCGAAAAATTGGGTCGGTCGGTTGGATTTTTTTTTTTTTTAAACTTGTGAAAACTAAGGATATTGAAAATAGCCGAGGTACTGTAAAATGACTAATATTCACTCATGGGTTTAAATTTCGCTGATTTACCATTTCAGGCATATTAAGTGGGTTTTAAATTCACGGTTTTATCATTCAGATAATGTATTTTACATATTCACTGGGTTTTAATTTAGCGCATTTTTCAGTCAGCGAAATTAAAACCCAGTGAATAATTAACCCCTTTATATGGGGGAAAAAAACGCGACCCGATATTTCATGTTTTTGGGTCGGTCGCTGAGGGCAACAAAACAATTTTTTTTTTTTGGCCTTATGGAAGATAGTCACAATTTAATTTAGAATAAATATACGTTTCATACTGAAAATAGATTAATTTTCATCACTTTCACCATGAATGTGGCCGAAACATCAGTGCCACACAATCACTCGATTTAGTAGTTCATAATTATAATGTGAGACAGATTTATTAATGGGTGCATTTTTTACAAGACAGTTTAACACTCTTTGTAAATATTTCAAATTATGTTAGCTAGCAATTACTGCAGTCCTTAATAATTTCTAGTTTGAAAACACTGCCTCAATAAATAATTTTATTTTTGGGTCAAAAATTTATGTGTTAAAACAGAGTTGTACGAATGATTGTACGGAATGATACAAATCAACTGACCTACGGCCAATGCTAGGAAATTCCGAGCTTGAACAAAAAATATATAATCTTGTAATATCTGTAATTTTAGTGAGTTTTGTTTTTGGTGTATGCCCCACATTTTATGCATGCAAACACGTTGACCTACAATGGCGTTCATGTGAAAGTAGTTCGGTTTCGTATCATACAACACTGATGGCGCTCTTACTTCTGTTCTACTAATTCCCACTTTCATCATATGCATCACATTACGATTTTGAGAAAAAACAGCCAATCACTCATGTAATTATTGAGATCCCTCCACTTTGGGAAAAAGTAGGTCCATATATTCTTGCAAAAAAAAGTCATATACAAGCCTGAACATGATTTACATTGCATTATTACATATTTATGACCATACGAATATATATTTTTGATTTAAAAATGATGTGGCAAATCATGAAGCTATGCAAATTACCGGTACAGTGTGGCAGGGAATAAAGTGAGAGCGCCACCAGTGTTGAGATTGTGGTATACATATGAATGAATTACCAGTGTGATGTCATAACCAGATATTTTTCTAGTGGAACACAATATTTCTAATGTTGATTTGGCATTGTCAGTAACATGGAGGCTACGTATTAACTTTTTTATATTTGCCATGAATAGAGTCCATCTTCTATAACCTTCAGATATGAATTTCATTAAAACTTTAATACCACACATGATACAGAGATGATACGAAACAAAAATTAAGGTTGTGTTCTTCTGATGGTCACATGCTGGGCAATGCTATACATTTTCTTTTTATGGCTAGCCAAAGATCTCTATGTTTTTAGTTCCTTTGTGTGTGAAGCACACAAGGGAGGTATTGAATTTGGTGTGTCCATGTCTGTGTTTGAAAAATCTCAAAAACTTTAGGTACCAAATCAGGTACCAAGGTACCGTGGGGGAAATTTGCAAGCATTAGTTTGGGGGGCCATGTTGTACATATTAATTATACCACTTCTGTCTGTGAACACACAATCTCAAAAACTTCTGAGTGGATTTTGATCAAATTTTCTATATATTGGTGCTGAACATCTGCTGCCTAATGATCTTAACCTCTGATGTCATTGCCCTTTCACCGACTGTTGGGAATATTCATTTCCTAGATATGTTTTCATAACACAATGATTTACATGGGAGTTGCTGTGTACTGAACACAATCATAGGCAACTATCTTGTCCTACTGCATATTTGACATGTCAATGTAGTTTGGTAATCAAAGGGTTATTCATAGGAGTGCTTAGGTATATTGATTACTGTAAAATGACTAATTTTCACTGTGTTTAAATTTCGCTGATTTACCATTTCAGGCATAATCAGTGGGTTTTAAATTCACGGTTTTATCATTTAGATAATGTGTTCTATGCTAAATTTTACATATTCACTGGGTTTTAATTAAGCGCATTTTCCAGTCAGCGAAATAAGAAAAATTAAAACCCAGTGAATAATTAATCCTTTTACAGTAACTGATATCTTGTTTCCTGTTAAGATAGTTTATTTATTTTTTTGGTATGTTTGCAAATGTGAATTAGACATTACCCTAAGTAAATTGTGCAACAGTTCATGAGTTGACATTGAACCCCCAGTTTAATATTCTCATGGGATTTGGGAGATACATTACCAATGATATTGAATACAAGATAAATGATTTGCTTCATTGAACAAATACAACAATGCATATTTCCACTGAGATCAGTGAACTTTGATGTGTATCACCAGTGATCAGTCAAAGTAGAAACAGTCAAAATATTTTATCAGATTTTCTCAATTTTTGCATGATATTTTCATACAGGACATCTGGTAATGCATATTCCACCTGGGACCAGTGACCTTCCACTGTGATCAGTCAAGTAGAAAGTCTACATTTTTTAAAAATCTGATTTGGACTACTATATTCACAATTTTTGCAAGATAATTTCACGCAGGACATCTCTGGTTCTAACTCTGGGAAGATCTTATATTGATGAATAAAGTGACCAATTATCGGAGTAGAATTACTCAAGTTACACATTCACAAATTATTACCCTTTCCTTTTGATGATGCATGCAAGGTAATAATGGCAAAACCAAATTACTAGGTATGTTTTTTTTTGATGGCATTTGCATTCAACCAATCAAATTGACAGTTAAGTTCTGATCTGCGGTGTTTTGTTGTTTGTCTGGAAGAGGCACACAACAAGTAGAACACTGCATAGAATCCAAAAATGCCTGGAAAGCAGTGAAAGTTCTACTAGGCTCAGTACTCTTTGAGAATATACAAGTTCCATAATCAACAGGTAATAACTCCTTAGGAAATAATATCATTTGGACATATTTTCAGCACTCACCATTAAGAGTAAAAATGAATAACTGAAATGACACATTTTTGTTTAATATTTTGCTTTACTCTCTTCTGGAAGAAAGGAAAAAAAAATTGGAATAAAATGAATTTGTTAGCCTCTGTACTAAAAAAAATATTTTTTTTTTTATCAAGCAACTATCTATTTCACAGATATAATAATTAGCTATGTACATATCTTGTATGACTGGCAGCCATTTTGTTTCCAGGTGTATTTAAGCATGCAGAGGCTATGACTGGCAGCCATTTTGTTTCCAGGTGTAGTTAAGCATGCAGAGGCTATGACTGGCAGCCATTTTGTTTCCAGGTGTAGTTAAGCATGCAGAGGCTATGACTGGCAGCCATTTTGTTTCCAGGTGTAGTTAAGCATGCAGAGGCTATGACTGGCAGCCATTTTGTTTCCAGGTGTAGTTAAGCATGTACAGGCTATGACTGGCAGCCATTTTGTTTCCAGGTGTAGTTAAGCATGCACAAGCTTGAAGTGACTATGTTCAAAAACTTGATATTGAAATTCTAGTATCTGTTACTTCATCATTGCTGCCAGTTTTACATGATCTATACATGCTATATAAAGTCTATAATAAATTGCACACGTTGAAGTAAAATACATATGATACATTATAATACAATATTACACTCAAGTAAAATAGAATAAAACACACTTAAATTGAAAGAATCAATTTTTTCTAGTAAGATTAATTTAAGTAATTAGGTAATTATTTACACAAATATCATTAGTTAGAAAACATTCAAGGTTTTTTTTTTTTTAACTTGGCTCAATCGGTAGATAAATATGAAAAGGATGGATTCAGTCAATGTATACAGACAAATGTACGTTGCATCTTATGCAACAATAATCTTTTGATCGACCCAGTGATTCAGTGCATTTAATGCTGATGGATAATTTATTGATCAGTGATGGTGTTATATCTTAATCCTAATACATAATTTTATGGCCAGGCACTGAGCAATATGTAAATCAGAATTGAGACAAAGTACAAATCAGCTGTGATATGCAAATCAAATATGCAAAGTAGTGACACAATATGCAAATCAGTAACACAATATGCAAACTAGGAGTGACACAATATGCAAACTAGTAGTGACACAAAGTGCAAACTAGCAACTTCAGTTGAGCTCTGATGAACAGAATCGTATTATTCATAAAGTCAATAGTATGCATGATACTTGTTAGGAATCTGAAAAACTCGTTTTTCACCGATCCACATATAGTAAATATTGGTAAGGTGCATTTATTTTATCAAGTGTAAGCCAGCTGACTGTGTACTGGACACCTGTCTGAAAGAAACATTGCTAACT